TATGACTTTCGGTTAGTCACGTCGTACACAAGCATGATGCCCTTTTTCAAAATAAAAATGAAGACGCTTAATTTACCATCGCACCCCGGTAGTAGGCTGTTGTGATCGTTCGGAAACGCTCTTGCCCAGCAGTATCCCATATTTGCAGTTTTATTTTTTTCCCGTCTATATCGATAGTTCTTATTTTAAAGTCGATGCCTGCAATAAGGATGACAATGAGAAACAGGCAGAACATTTAACGAATTAGCACCGGTGACGTACCAATGGTAGCAATAAAAGTTGAATTAAAGGAGTCATCTGAAAATCTGAAAAGTATACTCGTTTTTCCTACACCCGAATCGCCTATCAGTAACAGCTTAAAGAGATAATCATAAGCCTTTGCCATAACTGTGTGGGATTCAAGGAAAGGATGAGCGCTTACGCAGCAAACAAAGACAAACAAGTCAGAATTTATACTTATTTAATAGTTCAAAGCAAATATTTTATTTTAAAATGAAAAGATATATAACATTTTGTAATTGCTTATTATTACCGCTACTTATTTTTATGGAGATGAGGTGTTGTCCACAGCCGCGTTTGCCTCCTAGCTTATAATTCAATTAAGCAAATGGGGCTGCTCCTAGCCAAATTGTGGAGTCTTTTTAAATCTGAGGCGCACAAAATAGTCATTGTTGGTCTTGATAATGCGGGAAAATCTACCATTTTATACCAATTTGTGCTGAAAGAAGCAGTCCATACTACTCCGACTATAGGAAGCAACGTCGAGGAGGTCAAATGGCAAAATCTTCATCTTATTATGTGGGACATTGGTGGCCAGGAATCCCTCAGAGCATCATGGGATACCTATTATACTGGCTCAGAAGTAATCAAAATGTCGATCATTTTCAGATTGTTATCTTTGTTGTAGATAGTACCGATCGGACGCGCATCCCAACAACTAAAGAAGAATTATACAAAATTCTAGTAGTTGAGGTACATCGTTTATATTTTTCCTCAACATTTTATGCTCAGGGTTTACGAAAAGCTAAGATACTTTTATTTGCCAACAAGCAAGATGTGGCCGGCTGTATGTCAGTTACAGAAATAAGCCACCATCTCAATCTAACGTCTATTAAGGATCACCCTTGGCATATTCAAGCCTGTTGTGCTCTAACAGGGGAAGGGTAATCGATCTTATTGTCCTTGTTGCTATTTTTGTAAGCCTGGCTCAGCTGGGTCGTTTATTTTCAAAAATCTATCCAATAAAAATATTTGTAATTAATCTATTGATACATTTCATTGCCCATTTTATATATACATACATTTTAAATATAACTTATTTGACCGTCTAGTCTAAGCGCTTTGTGTTCTAATTGCATGCCTTTTTCTTTCCAGTTTACACCAGGGCCTCGAGTGGATTGCTGCACACTTAGGAAAGTAGACCTATAAAATTTGATTTC